TATATTTTACTGCTCAACTTTGTGTCGTTGAGCTGTGAAATATAACAATAGGAACCCCTATTCCCCCTGTGGAGACACAAAGTGGGTTCCTATTGTTATATTTTACTGCTCAACTTTGTGTCGTTAAGCAGTAAAATATAACAATAGGAACCCCCAGTCCCCCTGTGGAGGCACAAAGTGGGTTACTATTGTCATATTTTACTTCTCAACGACACAAATCGGCTGGTATACACCGGACCTAATGAAATAATCATCCGCATGTCTTTAGAGCATCATCAACAGGAACCCAAATTGAACTAGTGATGATACTATGAAAAAAAATTGAGTTATTGCTTATTATTGATTTTCCATCGGCATCTAAAATGAGAGGACATCACACGCGCCTCCCTTTGTTTTCGTGGTAACTCAACACGATGACATCACTCCCAACAACCCACTAAACTGCATACCTGAGCTCAAAATGTGTGTGTCACCCATCATAAAGCATTTTTTCCCCCGCTCATCTTGCTTTGACCACAAAAAACAGGTTGCTGCTGCTTCCCAGCGCCAGGGGCGGACTTCACTCTGGCTGTGGCCCACCGAAGGCAAAAAATGTAAATATACAAGCTAAAGGTCAACTAAATGGGTTAATGATTACATTATCTTTGGAAAAAACATTCTGTATCAGCGGGGAACGAGTCCTTATCCTTTCTTTTTTTTCACGTGCTGATTATATCGGCTATAAAAATTAAATGTTATTTATAATTTCGTTGGGTCTAATTGGAAAAGAAAAAAATCTGTTATTTATGGTTCATTGCGTTTGTGTTACAAAATGGGCATGTGTATGCAAATTATATCTATATCTTGAGATATAAAAGTCCTGTCTTTATTGTTATATAAAAAAAAGGTTGGTTTTTCTGGGAATGCAGCGTTAAAATTGAATAGATATGAAACGGAAGTCATGTGTGAACAGAAGAAAAAGTATATTGATTTTGTTGGCATGTGTTAAATTGTCACAAATCGCTGTGTATTTATTTTATTGGAAATCCATTTATGTTTCGTTAGTGACTGGCACAAAATAGCTACTGGCATTGCCCATTTTTAATTTATATTTATTATCTTATCTTTATCAGCGTTAAGTTAACTATCAACGGTTAGAAACTGTCACAAAAGTGCTTTTTCACTTCAGAAACAAAATAAAAGTTTTTAAAGCAAAAAAAAAAGTTCCTGATTTTTTTCCATTCCACACAAATTAAGCATATGTTAAATTTCCACATTTCTGGAAACTTTTATCATCATTTTTTTCCTACGCCCTAGTGGTCTTTTAGTATGTCTTTTTCCACTCTGTATGTTTTCTTTCTACTATTTTGCACAGGGTTTTTTTCCCCAAAAAAGCATGCGCGGAATGAAATTGTATCACAAAGGTATGTTTAATATATAATTTTTTTCACGTATTAATTAACCCTTTACCTGTTTCTTCTCTCCCCTCTATTGTATTTTTTTCATCGTGTTTCGCCTACGTTAGTATTTACAATTACAACAATATAAAATCAGATGTATTAAAAGATACAGTGCACACATACAACTTTACTAAGCAATATGACATGTAGCGGGTAGAACTTTTTTCATCCTGTTTCGCCTACGTTAGTATTTACAGTTACAACAATATAAAATCAGATGTATTAAAAGATACAGTGCACACATACAACTTTACTAAGCAATATGACATGTAGCGGGTAGAACTTTTTTCATCCTGTTTCGCCTACGTTAGTATTTACAGTTACAACAA